CCGTCTGCTCTCTCTCTCCCGTCTTCATCTCTACTACCTTCCGTCTGTTCTTTCTCTCCCGTCTTCATCTCTACTATCTTCCGTCTGCTCTTTCTCTCCCGTCTTCATCTCTACTACCTTCCGTCTGCTCTTTCTCTCCCGTCTTCATCTCTACTACCTTCCGTCTGCTCTTTCTCTCCCGTCTTCATCTCTACTACCTTCTGTCTGCTCTCTCTCTCCCGTCTTCATCTCTACTACCTTCTGTCTGTTCTTTCTCTCAGTGACAACCCACCACTTCCCCTAATTTCCCCCTCCCCGGTTTCCCCGGTTCTCACCCGGTGGTGTAGGGGATGTTGATTCCTCCCAGGTTGATGCTGTCGCAGCCCACGATGAACAGCGTGGAGAAGCAGAGCAGGGAGACTCCGCTGCAGATCATGGCCAGCTTGGCCGACTCGCGAGCTCCCAGCTTCAGCTTCTTGATGATGTAGCCGCCCAGGAAGATGCCCACGCCAGCGCTGGGCACGATAATCAGACCTGGGGGGGAGAAGAAAGGTGCATATTAGAAATTCAGAGAACGCATTTCCACCACTTTATCATACTTATTCTGCTGAGGGAATAGAACCACGAACCCTGGCAGGTGGGTGCTACTGCCTTGCTCTAACCACTGCCAGGCTGAACAGCGATAGCCACCAAAGTGGGTTCTTGTCACCTTCACAAGTCCGTGAGCAGGTTTCCCAAAGAACATTTTGAATTCACCCACTAGAGGCTGGCGTAACATGAAAGTATGTGTGAGTGGCAGTTTGACTCACAGGCTTCACAGCCCACTCCACCTCCAGCAACTCCACACGCACATTCCTGACAACAAAAGTCTTTACAAGATAGAATTCTTATTTTGGACGAAATCTTTGAAAAGGTTTCCAAAACAATATAAATAAAGGTTTTGTTGGATAAAACGTTCAGATGACTCACGGTGCCAACCAGTGTGACTAATGATGAGCTGCAAACAAAACCATTTATTCCAATAATATATTATTTTTGTTATCAAACTGTTGCATAAAGCAAATAATAATAATAATACGGAATAACCATTTTAGTTTTACGTCCAGACATCCAATAAACTGAATGACGGCGTCTTTGTTAGTCATTTATTTTACTGAAGAAGGCATCAACTGTTATAAATGGAAGAAACCTTCTTCTGGTACAAATTCTAAAAACTGATATAGGACATTTGTTTTAGCTTCAGTGAATCTGCAAACACGTCCATCACACGTAGAGAGAAGGCGCCTCGTGGACTTCCAGACACTCCGGCTATCAGCAGCTCCAGAATACCAAAATAGGCATCATCACTTAAGAAGGCCATCAGTTTCCTCTCAGCTTCTCCACTCGTCAGCCACAGCAGAGAGCCGAGTGGCTTTTTATCTTTAACACACACACACACACACACACACACACACACACACACACACACACA